GAATGCCAGCCCTTCCAGTCACCTTCCCAGTGAGACTGTTCACTGCCTGCCCTCACCTTCTGCTGGAGCTCCTCAATGGTCCTGAAATAAGACTGGTAGTCAGGAAATACGTTGGGCACTTGGGACTGGCAGGCTTCTTGGATCTTGCTCTCCAGGCTGGCATTCTCCTGCTCCAACTGGCGCACCTTCTCCAGGTAGCTGGCCAGCCGGTCGTTCAGGACCTGCATGGTCTCCTTCTCGCTGCCATTGAAGGTCCCTTCGCAGTACCAGTTGCAGGTACCCATGGAGCTGGAGATGCTATTGGTTGGCCGGCAGCTGCTGGGCCGGCAGGAGCTGGATAGGTAGGTCCTGGAGAGGCAGCTGGCCGGCCGGTAGGTGGTGGGCATGCAGACAGAAGGCACGCAGGTCATGGGCTGGCAGACATAACCCAGGCACAGCTCAGGCCGGCAGCTCATGCTGCCGGAGCAGACAGAAGAAGGCCGAGGGCAGCTCTTGACGGAAGCAGGTGAGCAATTGGATGTCATGCTAGGGAGGCCCCTTCACAGCTGCAGCTATATGGATCACAGCATCGACAGACCCCATCCTGTTCAGGCTCTTTTATACCCTTGGAGTGAGGGGGCTTATACTAGAAAGTCATCATGAGGTGGTGTTGATGTTTATACTTAGCCCCAGAGGAAGATGCTAATTAATTTGTAATTCGGTTTTCAATAAGGTGTTCCTTTCTTCATAAAAGAGGCCAAGTTTGTCATTTGGCTAATATGGGACTCTGAGCTCCTGTCATTGATCCCCAGGGGAGAGCTTCTGGACACATCTTCAAAGGATCAACTCCATGCCTGGGCCCTCATTACCAGGGCGGAGCCACCAAGAGACCACAGAGGCCTGGCGCTGTGCCGCCAATGGCCTTGCCCACTGTGCCCCCACCTGCTTCAGCCTTGAGAAAGGCCACAGTCTATGGATAGCAGCCACTCCTTTTAATGAAAGCATTTATGTGGGAAGAGGCTTGTCCCCTTAAGGAGGAAATGTGTGGGTGACAGAAGCTGCACCGATACTGGCAGTGGAATAAATCGAGGGAGATAGGAAAAAGATCCTCCGAGGCTTCTAAACATGAATCATCTTCCTATTGTTTCTTCCAGGGGAAATATCAAGGAGGAGAGAACAAACTCAAGACACAAACAGAAAGTGTCAGGATCAGGGACATCTTTTCAACTGGACAGAAGCCCGCTCTTAAAAAAGATCAGTTTCATGAACATCTCTGTGAGGTAGATGCTCTAGCTTGACCATCTCTGAATCCTTCCCTTTGGTTCTCACAGCTCCATGTAGAGTTGTCAAGTTCGATTACTGTTTCTCGAACAGACTGAGGCTGGACAGGCTAGACCAGGCTCTACTCTCGCTTTCTGCAATGGTGGACAGAGAGGGCTCACTTTAGGACCTCAGAGATGAAAAGCCATGTGAATCAGCTCCCTTGAGAAGTGAAACTTTGCAGCCCTGGGATGAGCTAAGCCAGGAGACCGAGAGCAAGTATCTCCAATTATAGACGCCTTGGGCATTTCTTAAGAAGGCAACAGGCAAGACCAGTGGTTTTCAGTCCTTGCGTGCAATACTTGCCAGCACACACACTTTGCGTTTAATATGTGTGTATTATATAGCCATTTTTTATTCATTAATTTTCTCAACATTATATTGGAGCATAAGCCCTTGTAACATTTTTCATATTTTTCTAGAAGTGTTGATGAAGAGACAAGGAAGAGAGAGCCCCACCCAGCCCTAATCTCTGAAATTTGTTGCTTACATAAAGTCAGGATAGAGTTGCTATCTTCTAACTTGTTATGTCACTTTACCTCTCTAGGCCTGTTTCCTCATGCAAATTGAAAGGGTTGGATTAAATCATCTCTCAGCTTGATTTGCTGCAACAACCATAAACTCCAGTTCCTTTATCTGGATTAACTGTTTAGAGAAGATGGTGGCATCAGATGGAAGGAGGCATGATAGCAATCCCAACTACATAGAACGAGACTCACTGGACCACCTTTCAAAATCATAACCAGCATGTGTTGAAAGCGTGCAAGTGCCAGACACTGTACTGTGGGCTTGGCGTTAATTTGCCCATTTCATCTTCACTTTAAAAAGCTATAAGATAATTAGTATTGTAATAAGGTGTGGCAATGGTTCTCAAAGTGTGGTCTCCAGACCAGTATCATCAACATTCCTCAGGAACATGTTAAAAAGGCAATTTCTCAGGTCCACTCCAGACCAACTGAATCAGAAACTCTGAGGGTGGGGCCCATCCACCTGTATTTAACGGGTCCTCCAGGCAGGTTTGAGAACCGCTGAGGTATAAGAACACCTGCCACCAGAAGTCCTTTTGCAAAAAAAAACACTTGTAAAAACAAATAACAAAGT